ACGAACGTTATGGCAAATCGCCCTCGATTCTGACAGCTACACATGATGATTCTATAGCGGGGAACACATCGCTACGGTACAGCATCTGATATCGGTGAAGTGGCGATCGGTGGTAGCACAGTTTTACCCCTCCTCAACATTCAAACGAGAATTACCGCGCCACTCGGGATTTTTACGCCGATTGATTTAAAGGTGTGGGTGTACCATTATGAGTGAAGCTCATGGAGTGGAGTGGAGCTAGCAGTGAAAATCCATGAGCGTTTTTGCCGTTGGGCGACAAGGTGAAGTTTAGTGAAAAGTGCTGAGGTGAAAAATTGCAGTTGTTGCTGGTAGAAAAATATCGATTCCAAAAAGATATCACCTACCGAATTTCTCTGAACGATAGAAAAACGTCGTAATGGAAATATTGACCATTTGCCCAAACGATGCCGACACGTCACCAGATTCTTAATTTCAAATCTGCCGATACCAAAACAACACCTAATGCTCATTAACACATGTGTGTGCAACAAGATATGCTCACACAGGTAACTGTTATGTATGCAGTAAAAACCATGTTATCTGTACAGAAATTCTCCCGCAAACTCTTTAAATGTCTCCTATGGAGGACAACTCCGTATTAGTATATGGACTCACACATGTGTAAATTACGAACTTGCCATTTCGCTTCTCATCCAAAATTGCCGGCATGCCGGGTACAAAAAAACGATTCTCGGATAAGTGGTCCGGGAAAAAAAAATCAAGGACAGCCTCCCATGGGAAATCATGCCAGTTTAATTGGAATGGAAAAACAAGTTGAAAATCTGAAACTTCCTATATGTACATGTATGTTTAAAAGCCTGCATTGTTATTAAGCGAATCGGTATAAATGGAATCCAGCATCAGCAGACATGGACTCCCGGATATGACACGTGCCCTAATGTTAGTGTGCGCTCTCTCTCAGTGCCCCAGCATACTATATTACCGTGACGCCCCCGAATGACGGTGGTCGGGGGATATCGGCCTCCAAGCATTCTTAGGTTTCAGTACACGGCAGCTATAGACGTAAGCACCAGAGGCAACAATGCCCTCTTGTGTTCACCTGCGAGATGGGAGGCAAGCAATGCAAGCCTAGGCGGCGTCGGCTCTAAGCGCATCGGCTGGCAACAAGGCCACGCTCCGTCCGTTCGACAAGAGCACTTCGATCATTGTCCCCTTGCACCCATCCATTTTCGGGCAGTTGTAGGCCGGGGACATGCTACCAACGGGCCTCAACGCAGTCTTGCGCGGCCGCAGCTAGGTGCGCTAGCGCTCGGCGGCTGATCTGCCAGATAGTATTCCCAAGCAGAGAAAAGGTCCGGGGTTGGGGTAGTGGGCTACGGTAGTAAAAAGTGCGTACGACGTAGGTCCTGCATTCACGAGCGCAAACATGGACGACCTCCGCGCGACCTGAAGACGTACAGCGCGGGGTAGGGGGGACCGCCCTCACGCCTCCTACGTCATTAGTTTAATGCCAGGGCGTGGGCTCGCTCTCGTCGCAAACGTGAGTGGGCGGATGCGTGGGGTGATCGTGGCGCTCTCGCGGGGAGGCGCTGAAACAATGAACTATGTAGGTGCTTCCGTGGCGTGACCTGCATCGCAGACGGCACGGCCGGCTCGGTTGCAGAGAGAAGTACTGCTACTTCACACTTCACCGCCGGTGCGCCCAGCGCCGGCTCCTCAGCCCGCTCCAGTCAGATTCCATATTCTGCACTGTTTACGCCCGACACCTGCGTGTTCGGAACACAACGATAAACAACAGTGGTTAGCCGCATTACCCGAGCGCAATCGGGTACTACGCTTCGGTCGCGCCCCCCGCTCTGCTGGCGCGCTCCAAGTCCGACTTCAACCAACCTGCACCTGCGCGCCACCAATGGAGACACACAGCATCTCACCGCACATGGAAAGCTTTATCCACGCACGCAATTTCATCGGAAATGCGAACAGGCGGGCGCCGTCTAAATTTACTCACAAAAATTCCACTCGATGTATACTTACATTTGATTTGTCGTCGTTATTTAACATATGAGAACTATATGACTCAAGTTCTTGTCTTACACACTCTTTACAATTGAAATCTCTCAGGTGGATTCATTAACGATACGGGCATCGGATACTATACTAGTCATTATTATAGCGAGGTGAGCCTCTTATTATTAGGCCTGTTAGCACCAAGCTCTATTCCTAAACAACTTTAATCATTGCAATTTCAGTTATCCTATTTCATAACTAATTATGAAGTAGCCCAGCCATCATATTACAAATATCGAAAAATTTATATACTAGGTATGGACATTTTTTCATGCGGAGGACTGCATCACAATCATCTATACATCTACACAACATATACATGAACATTTACTATACTGTTTAGGTATATTATTTTTAGAACTCCTTAACAATTTCACAAAGTTTAACCAAATTGTATCAATCAAAATGCATTGCAATTAACTATACACAAGAGTGGCCAAGACTACGAGCCGGTACATTTGCGCATTCATAATTGACATTTAACTTAATACGTGGTGCCCTATTTACGGTATGTGAAATATGATCGAACACATACACTAGCGTTACGTAGATACCCCGGTGTTAGGTTAGTGCCTCTTCGGTATCACCCTGACAATAGAAAACGTAGGGAATTCATGAACGTAGCCAATTGCACGGGCAGGTTTACGATACCTGGTTGCACACCAGCCCAACATACACACATCCGAACGTCCATGCCGTCACGTGCTCGTTAGACAGCTACTACGCTGAGGTGACTGAGTACTACTACACGTAGGAGAGCCGGCGCGGGTGTATACACTGTGTACCTTCTCCTTAAAAAACAACATTCCGTGTGTTTAGGCATGAGAAACCTACGGTTGCCATCGCCGACACGCAGTCACGGGACACGACGCAGGAGTACGTGCTACACGCTGAATTAGCCATCAACGTCTGGACGCATTTCTGATAGCTGTTTGCACGACAAACCGTTAGGCTAAAGTAGTTCTGTGCAGCAACAGTTACTC